CCCCAAAACCCCAAAACCCCAAAACCCCAAAACCCCAAAACCCCTTAACAAGAAATTCGAATTGAATAAGCCAGAAAATAAGGATTTAAGGCTGTATTTTCTTAGCTGCTCCAGGGAACCATCTGATACCCTGTCTGACGTATATATCCCCAAGAGCCAGTTCCTTCTCGTTTGGCTGAGCTATAGCTTTGAATGCTTTGTCAATTCCTGGTGCGAATACAGGCTTTTCGTAAAAATAAATGTACACTAAAGTGGCAATAATCGGACCGAACATGTAGCACTCAAAATATTTGATCTTCTTAATAATCTTCTTCTTATCAAGCAGCTGGGTTATAGTATCCAAGGCTCTCATCACAAAGGCAAGCAGTATGAGTTTCTTAAGCTTTGAGGACTCTAGCAGCAAAATTGAAAATCCTGAAAGGAATCCGGAAATTATAGGAAAAAGTGGATGATCCTTATTCTTAAAGATTTTCCTCAGCGAGAGCAGAATCAATTTATATGATCCAACAAAAGTTCCTAAAAAAAGTCAGAACTTTATGTTGCTCTTGGATAACAGATTGGCAAGATTAGGCAGTAGACTTTTTGATGGCTTTGATAAGCTGAACAACACAGCAGCTAGAGCTTTAATACCAAAAGCATATTTAACGTTCCGTCAAAATCCTTGCCAACATGATTGGAGGGAGGGCTTATTTCCGTGCTTTCATAGGTGATCTGAATTGCCCTATAAGGTAAAATTATGATAACACTCCTTTGAGGGGCTTCATGAATTAAAAAATCGAGAATAATAAAATGAATCTATCAGAATTGAAAATATAGCCTTTTCGTTATAAATGGTGTAAGATGTAATAAATAAACATGGTGAAAATATTACAAAAGTACAATTTGACGCCACTTCTCTCTTACATTTTCATTCACAGTTGTATTGGAATTGACAATATTTTTAATTTCTTCCTGCTCAATTTCTTTCTCGTATATCCTTCCGTTCTGGGACTTATCGCCCATTGCATAGTGATCCATCTCTGACGTATTTTCGATATGAAATATATTAATTCTGAGTGGGGTTTTGGGGTTTTGGGGTTTTGGGG